TTAATACGACTACCTGCTCGAGAATCTGAGTCATATTTACATGTATCTTTAGCCGCCCACACTTTGTGAAATTAAATCCGTCTACATCCGTATATAAATGATAAGATTTTAATTGCATTTATTTCAGGTTACATAGCTACCTTCTTATTTTTACGTTCGTTCCAGTTTTGTGAATTGATATTTTTATATAACAAAATACTTAGTGCTTTCATGACACCTTATTTTGTTTACGTATTTACGGACTTTCTTACTTAAATATTAAATTTAGCGCTGAAGCTGAACTGTAGTTTTTATAATCACCACGTTAGTAAAAGCATTGTAAAAGTATACATATGGGGAGTTAGGTATTGCATTGGGGTAAAAAATGACCCCACACTTTTTGGGGCATCAGAAATCCGAATCAAACAAAATTCTTAGACATAAAAGGAAGAGCTGGAAAGCTTTTGGGCAGAATGGCGTATGCGCAAATGTGTGAAAGTAACAAATAATTGTCAATTTTTGTATTATGACTAGACTAATTGCATTGAATGGAATAAAATTGGCTGCGTATGTTCTATAGAAAGTTTATTTTTTTGAAAAACGGAAAATTATAACTAAAAGTATGAGCAGATGCAGTATTTTTTTCTCTAAAAGAAACATATTTAGACTTTTGCTCTAAAATAATTAGGGGAGCTAGTAATTGACTATAAAGGAATTACCATTGAAATCCTTATGCTGCGTCGCGCTAGGCACCACCCGGTATATGGTTGGAAAGAAAAAAAAACATGTATCAAACTATGAGCATTGAATTTATAAGTTATAAATTCAATGCTATGAGTAAAAATCCAATACGGCATCCATTTACAATGATGAAGTTGATGACAATATCTCGAAAACCGCCATTTTGAAAATTTTTTTCTGCGTGCATTGAATTTATCCCATCGAATCTTGCAACTTTTACTCTTTGTTACTAAAATATCTGAACTTTTTAAAAAATAACGATTTTCACTTTTATTCAAAATATCGCATCGAAATATCCCTCCGCATCAAAAACTACACAATTTTGCCAATTTAACTGAATCTGTAAGTATAGGTAATAATAACAAAGATAGATATTATCATTGAATAAAAACACTATTTATTCAATGATATTATCTTACTCAATTTTAGACACCCTATATAGAACTACTTTAGGTAAAAAATTAGTTTGTGTAAATAAGAGTATAGTACCTAAATAAGCGATCATTAGATATATATTCATAAATTACAAGATCCTATAATGTTAGAGGTTCCTATACCGATAGCAGGTACCTATCTACCTATGCACCAATAATAAATAGGTTTTTACATTAACTTTGAGATAAACTAAATATGGTAATAAAAATATCCAACAGTTTTATTCGAAAATACGTGGAGATCAAAAATGATTAACCGTAAAGAATCGATTTTAAAGAATTCTACATGGTGCAGTATGTACGGCAACGACAAAATTATAATGGTCCTTCGATGCTTAAAATGATAACCATACCTTTCTAATTACAATAAAATATCGATTGTTGAAAACCTCATCTAGAACAGAATTGTTTCCGTTCTCGATTTATCGTATAATCTAGACCAGGTTAGGTACATAGAACGACATAAGAATTTGATTTTATGATTTCTTTGGAAACTTTTTGGTAATTTGTAATTTTTTCATATTTGCGACCGTTGTCGAGAAATAAAAATACAATTTTCGGTAGGCACCTACTTAGCCAAATGAATGTATAATTTTTAAAATGACCTTAGCTTTATTTGGATAATCTCTTGATTTTATTTAGAGTCTTGACAGTTCGCATTTGAAATTGTATCTTGTGTTATATACAAATTACAGGTTTAATTTATAAAGTGTACGGTGAAGTTATAACATCCTGTAGATCAGTAACGAAACGTTTGCGGAGCTATGAATGTTTATATAAACTTTTAGTCATAAAATAAACCAAGAATTAGCCCCTTCCGTATTTGCATCACATTTAGGAATACCTTATGCAATTATACGTACATTGCGAGAATCAGGTAAAGTACCGATGAAGTAACCGATCTCGATAAGGGGAGGTGGATGGTGTTTGGTAGAAATCAATTCTTTTCGTTGAGACTTTTCATTAGAATACCATCATGGATAAAATTACTTTCCAAAAAAATGCGCAAAAAACTGTTAAGTAATCAATAAATCGATTTAATTCAATCAAACGCCATACTATAACAAAGTTTGGGTTTTCAATTCGGTAGTGTGTCTTTTCATTTCTATTGATAGCCTGATACATAAATATAGAATAAGGATCCTACCAACGGTAAGTACATAGGTATAAATGAATATAAAGTATAATCGTTGAGTGAAGGATCTAGGTAGAGTGGTAATGCCTATATGAAAAGCGGTCATCCTTTCCGATCTTTTACTAAGGTAGTCCCTTCTCTATTGCACATCGCGTCTCTGCCCCTCCGAGTCCACGTTTTGCAACACCGACAGCTAACGCCACCGACAATTTCGACGGCGCTTTCCTTCTTTACAATTTACAAGTATTCAGTATTTTCGCCCAGCCGCCCTCTCCAACGAAATCAGTCTTTAGCGTAACTCCAATTGCAACTATCGAAAACCGTTGTAACACACGTAAACAAAATGAGTCATTCTATTTTCATGCAATTGTATACCTGCAAAATATCAGTCCCTTATCATAATTATTGGATCAGATACCTAATTAAGAGCAGTTCTAAAAGCAGCAGGTACGTACGGACGAAATTCAAAAAAGTATACCTACCTAATCACAAGGAAAAGTATCTCATATCATTTATGTTTATGTATTTTGCGATTGTGCGAGTAAAGTAGGTATTATTTAGAAATTTAAAGAAACTTATCCCATCACTATGTTTATTGCTGATGTAGCAATTTGCATAAACGCAAATATGATTTGCAACACTCTTCCTACAATTTTAGCACACTACCGACTTATTTTAAACCGATAACGCTAGGTATAGGTACTCTCTCGCAATTAACGTGACAATTTGAAAAAAAGACGGTACCTACTGAATTTTATAATGATAAGTACCTGTGTACCATTTATTTTATGTGTTTCTCTTTATCATAACCGGGAAGGTCAAAGACAACTTGTTTAATTGGCGAATCTGCTGGTAACTTTATCTAGCTATTCTGCTATCATGATTAAAGGCTTGCTTTTGATGCGGCCGTTTGTTTTATATAGAATATACCTAGATATAAAATGTGCATTATAATACTTTTAAATAATATGTTTCGGTCACCGTAAACATACTGTTTCGATCATCGATCACAAATTAATTTTACAAGGGCCACATGCAGCCTCTGATACGGACCTACCGTAACCGTATATTTCGCCTGTTGCCCTCGCAAATTTAATAAAGCGATAATGTAATTGTAAGGTTAATATTGTGGTAGCGAAAATATGAAAATAAAATAATGCAATCCGGATCTGGATCGCCGACTTGGTTGTTGCCGTCGGGATCTGAGATCACTCTTGGCCGCCTATATCTCAAACCCCACGTTCACTATACTTTTAACATAAGCATTGCCTCTCTACCTAGATCCTTCACTCAACGCTTTAACGAAATGCATAGACGTGAACAATATTTGGTGTCGACCTTTTCTCTATTTTGCTGTACCTAGCTGCAACTTCCAGTCTAAAAACCACAACTTTTTCAATTCACCATAATCCAACAGATGAAATCGCACCAGAAAGCACTATACTTATTCAAGAGCAAGACGAAAAGTTGGCAATCCGCATAACCATAAATTTGATATCGGAATTGAAGCGTGCCAGGATCGTGTCTCTACGTTTCGAAAAAAATTTACGAGTTTGTATTGACGGTAGGTGAAGGTCATTACGGGACATGAACTTAGACACCTCCCATAAAGTCCGTAACTGGGTGCCACGAACGTGATGAAGGTACAAATGGACGCAATAACATCACACGTTCTCGTTGCAATAAACAACAGAGTTTAATAAACGACTAAAAAATCAGATCGTGTCTCCCGACTTGTAACGTAGTCAAATGACCGGACACATAATTAACATATTAAAATCTCCAACGGAAGGGGAGTACAAACACCGTCCACAACATTGATTTTTTTAAGCACGCATCGAAATAACCACGGCTGAACGACCTGATAAGTGTCCAATTACATTTGGGGACAAATTTATTTGTTTGTTTACCGGGAAGATGTTTATTAAAAATTCAATTTCCATCTGAAAGCTTTACCGTCTTTTTATTGCGTATTTTACGACGAGCTTTCTCTCGATTATTTTACCTGCGTAGGTATCGTTTCGTCTCGTGCGTTACGCCCATTCAATAAATATGTACTCCCTTGACCCACTTCCTAGTTTTAATCAAATCTAAAGAAGATTTTGCCACGTCAATACAGATATGCTAATCTAAAGTATCTAGTTTCTGGTCACGAATTATATAATTTCTATGAAGTGACAATTGTGAACTGCATTATGGATGTTCAGAAAAACTCGACCGGGAATACACTGTGCCCAAGATAAGGATATGTCCTCGGATATGTCGTATCATATTATACTACCATAGAAGATACGAACAACGATGTACAAATTAGAATAAGGAAGGGCTATTATCAATGCCTTCAAGAAAACTAGAAAATTCCAATAGCTTCCGAAGATGTTCGGTTTAATTTTGTCATTTCCACTTTTTGAGCTCTACCTCTACCGAGATACCGTAGAGAAATGTTCAATACAACGTTTCATTTCGGAGAAATCATCAACTTTATTTTTTTATATGGCCCATAAAAAAGTACACACCGTGTTGAGTAGAATTTTGTATATTATGAATACGACAATATATCGCACAAAAAAAAACAAAAGTTGGAAACTATT